TAACCTCCTTTTATGTTAAGCGAAGGCTTCATTTGCTTGAAATGATCCTTGTTGAGATACCATTTGAATTTAGATAATTGGCTTGATGAATATGACGAATACATTAAGGCGTTACACATAAGAATAATGAAACCATCAGAAGCAATATATATTATGCAAATTAGCAAATTGACATCGTGTATTTTCCCATCAACATTATGGAAATATAACAGCAAATATATATCAAAGATGAATTTTTTCTATTAGATTCAAATGGAAATCTTTCTAAAGGCTAGGAAATCAAAAGAACTTATATGATCAATTTCTTAAATAAGTACCGCTATGATTATATAGAGTTTATTAAATGACATTTCTCATACTTTCCTTTATTTTTTTCTTAGATCACAGTCATACAAGATCAATCGTCAACAATTGTAAGATCAATGAAAGTAAATTTTTTTCGTTTGACCAAAACACAAAATTTTCTCAGAGCTAAGATATTAAAGAAATCTATTCTAATGAATATCATTATGATTATATATATATATCAATTAATATTAAGCCAATTAAAAAAAATCTACTTTCTTTCTATTTTTTTCATATTATAGGATGAACAACGACTCACATTATAATGATCAGCAGATAAATCTCTTCAGATCTGACCTGCATCACAGCATTAGGATATAAGCTTGGGGCAACGGGAATATTTCATGTGATGTGTAACAGATTCCCAAAAATCAGACTTGTTTTAGACCCAAATTAAAAAAATCTACTTTTTTTCTACTTATTTCATATTATATGATAGATAACGACTCGCATTATAATAATTGGCAGATAAATTTCTCCAGGTCCAGCGTGTATTACAACATTAGGATAAAAGCTTAGGGCAACGGGAATCTTTCACATGATATGTTACAGATTTACGAATTTGATTTTTATTAGGAAACAATTTTACCTTTTTTGAAATTTGTGTTATGTTACATAATAATTCAATCATTATTTATACATGTAATCTAAATGTAATGGTTACATACGAATTTTTTTATTATATATATAGATTTTATGACTTTACTTTAGTTAATATTATATGATTTATTGTTTTTTTTTATGATCTTCTTCAATTTGTCATTTTCTAAAGTTACATGATATATTATTTTAACTCTACACTGTTATGTATCTCAAAATCAAATTAGTTTAAAAGAAACTATTACAAAAAAGGTTATAAAACTATAGAAATTACTATCAAAAAAGAGAGTAGATAGAAGATAAAGTAATTAAAAAATAGTCAGAAAATAGATTGTTAAAAAATCATCAGAAGGTGAAAAAATTGAAAATTGAATAGAAATTTTTATTTTTTTTTAATTATTTTAAAGTATTTTATTTTTTAAATCTTTTATTTAATTTTTTAAATTTTTTATTTATTTATTCATTTTATAGTATTTTTATTTTTCTATTTTAATATAATATTTATTAATTATTATATAATTATTAAATATCTTCTTCAATTATATAAATATTTTATGTATTATATATTATTATTATTATTATTATATATTTTACCTCTTCTATTATACTGAATTATATAGTATTTTGCAATAAAAAAAAAAGAAAATTACTAAAAAAAAAGTTTATTTGTAAGTTAAATTGAATTAATTTTACTAAATATTAATTATTAATTTCAATTTTAAAGTCTCTTTTTTCTAATTTATAATAATAATTATTATTTTACCATTACTATTTTTTTATTTTATTATTATTATTATATGATTACTATTTTACTTTTCTTTAATTTCTTTTCTTAATTATTTATTCTATCTGAACAAAAGCATTTGAATACCTTTAGAATTTATTAATAAAACATTTTTGGAATATTTATATCATTTTTTTTTTAATATATTAATATTAAAATTTTACTATTTATAAAGCTAATTAACTAAAATATATCTTAAAAATTTAAGTTCATTGCCATAGTAATAGCATACAGAATTTATTAATAAAATTTTTTATCATATAGTTTAAAAGTTAACTCTAAAATAATCATAGAACCTAATGATTGTTAAATATCATTTTACATATTTATAAATATTTTTTAAAATAACTTTAAGATTTATTACTATTTTAAGGACTTGAAATAATAAATCCAATAAAATAGATCATAAAAAGTAAAGAATAAATGCTTAATTTAAATTATTAAATGCAAATAAAACCTTTCAAAATACATCATCATTTTTTTTTTTTAATCAATAAATTTATTCTATGAATGTAAAATATTATTTTTTTTTTTCTTTGGTTAAAATAACTGCCATACTGTATATACTTGCAAGCTTTCTTAGTTCGCTTAACGAAAAAGTGATTGAAAAAGTAGAATTTTTTATAGTTAACCGAACCAATGGAATGAATAAAATAGTTCTTATAAAATATATTTATATACTGTATGTATCATGAAGCTTTTTTTGGTAGATGCCGCAAATAGATAGATCGTTTAAAATTTATGTCTATATGTGACTAGTTTACTTTTCTTTTTTGGTTAAATGTCCGGAATTTGTGCTTAGCAAATGAGATTTTAATGCATTGGAAGGTGGAAAGTACAAATACAAATCCGACCTGTATCAATTATCAAATCTTTTCCACCATGTTCTCGATCTTTCTTTGTCACAATTGGATTAATTTCATTTATTATGTTGATCAATCATTGCAAATACATGAATCGTATGTGTTGTGAAAAAAGAAAAGAATGATAAGGTATTGAATTATAAGAAATGAAGAAAAGGAATGGTAGAAAGAAGTAAGGTATGGAATTATAAGTAATGGTAGGCTTTTATTATTGCGTCTAAATTATGTGTCTTTGAAATAAAGTTACGTTTTTCATATAATGTTGATTATAATAAAAATAAATTACTAAATTACAAATCTATAACATCATACCTACAATATTTCTATCATTTCAATTCTCCTTAACTTCGAAACAAGATTATATAATAATAATAATAATAATAAGATGATTCTTCGCGGTCCCTGACTTGAAATTAACAAACTATGATTATTAGAGAATAAACGAATGAGTTTTTTTTTTTTTTTTTAATTAGAAGGGTAATCGATAATCATTTAGCAATTATCAATTCATCAATGTACTTCTTTCATTGGTACGTTTTTAGTTTCAAGGAGTGGATCTCGACCTTATACTGACAAATTCTTTTCTTTGACAATCAACTCTTATCAACAAATTAATTGCTTTTTATATTTAGAAAATAAAAGATTTCTATTAATATGTTTGGATTTTCATACATTTAATAACTATTATCAAATCTAGAATAGCTTAATGCTGGTTAAAAAAGCACGGTAGGTATGACAAACAAAATGAACTGCATCTATCGTGATAAAATATATGAAGAAAATCAAAGTTTTTACCCAATCCCTAATTTCATGTAAATATCGGTATTTACCGTTCAATATTTACTCGGAGTAGCCGAAAAATTTTCGATGAATGATGATGAATGGCAAACGTTATTTTGTTATATGCATTCACATCAGAACTTTCTCGGTTTTGAGTTTTTGGGGGAGATAAAATCCTTTATCCTTTCCCGAAACAGTTTAAATTCATTCTGAAAAGGTTTCCGAAATAAATAAATATGTATCTAACGTTACAAAATCGGTAAAAATAGTTTAGATAGTATCTCATAATCCCCGTTTCGTGGTGTCATTGATTCCTTTGGTGGCTCGATTAAATAAACCCAAAAAACTTGATCTATTTATTATGAAATCAAAATCTTAGTATTGTTCTTTAAACATCAGAGACCATTATCGCTCTGACCATTTTTTCTTTAAAAGAAATAAAAATTTTTTAATATCTACCTTCACTTAACCATATCTCCGAGAATTCGAATTCTGCATTAATGGTCCAAATTTTCTTTTTTCATTACCTCGTTTTTATTTGTTTTGTCCATTGTGCGCGTAAAACGTTACAATCCGGTAAATGTTAATTAATATTGTCCCAAAAAGTGTTTATTAAATGAGATCTACGCATTCAACATCCAATATTTGATGCAAATTTATTATTAAATACATAAACAATAGTAGAGAAGAAAAGAAGAAAAGGTGTAATAAAATGACAATGATTATTAGAACATTTATTCTGTAAAGAAATTTGTTTATGAGGCCCAAGCCACTCTATTAATAGCATTGTTGAAGCCTCAATCCTCATTTCGAGTATTTCCGATATAAAATTTTCATCATCATTAATTAATACGAACCATTAAAGTGTAGGGCATTTAAAATATTTATTCGTCTTTTTTATCATCTTTAAAAGGTTAAAAATTTACAAATCAAAAGTAATGAAAAATAATTTTCATGCGATATTTATATATACGATATACAATACTTTTTCCAATTTAATCCTTTTTTTTTTCTCCTTTATTGTCCCTCCCATAATACTTTTTTTAATAAAGAAGGCCTTGCATTATATACTGTTTATCATAATATTAACTTTGGTGCATTTTACAAAACTGCAAAAACTCATCATAAAACACAATACCTGTAACACCCCCATTTTTTTTTTATATAGTATGTCATTCTAATTATTAATAATATTGTTACCTCATATAAATAATTGAAACCTGACAATATACTTGATAAATAAAGTTACATTGTACAAGCTTTAAAAAAAAAAAAATTGTACGAGTTAGCTTTAAAAAAAAAAAAAAAAAAAAAAAAAAAAAAAAAATGAACGAATATAAATACGTTTCAGTTTTTTTTTTCTCTCCACCTTTGTTCACGACATAATTTTTTTTCGCTTTTCATTTCATTTTCATTTTCATTTTTCATATCATTTTTTGTATATTATTAATGTCCAAAGCTTTTTTCTAAAAAAGAAAAAAAAAAAAAAAAAATATATTAGAAGAAAATTTTTGATGTATTATATTATTTAATATTATCGAGAAACAACTAGAAAAAAAAATTTTTTAAAAGAAAACCCAAACGAAAAAATTTACGCGTCTATTCATTATTGGTTTCTGTCATTCAAAATGTTGTCACCGACGAGAAGTATTTTAAGAGCGGTTGCAAAACAATCATCTCGCAATCCGATAGAGATGATTGTATTTTGCCTAATAATTGCATCATTCGCTTATGCTTCATTATTTCGTTCATTAATCGAGTCGGAATATTTTAATGAACTATCATTTAATAATAACAAAGTTGATTCAACCAAAGTGATCGTACAACCAAATTCAAATGATTTCGTTCTTTCAACCAGAATTGAATCAACGACACAAGCCTCAAAGGTTCAATTAAAACAAATCGTCATTCCGATTGAAAATCCTGTATCAAATCAACATAAATTTATTGATAACATACGAGAATTTAAAGAATTTATCGAAAAAGAAATATTCAACACCGAAATAATTAATAAATTATATGATAATTATCATTTATGTTTTAAACCAATCGAAAATGATATGATTAATTCGAAATGTATTGAAATTAATAATAATATTTCATTAGAACAGGTTTCAATGCAATATTATAATCATGAATTAAATTCTCATCATGTAATTTTAACTTATGCATTGGAAGTTAACGATCCTCACTCTATTCATCTCGCTAATTCTTTGGAGGATCAAATTGCTAAATTACATTTTAGTCAATTTGTATCTACTATTAAAAGACAATCTACCCCTGCTGAGAAAGGTTCCTTTGCTTGGTTGGCCTTTGCTTTTGGTAGTTTGGTTTTAAAAATTCAGGAGTTAATCCAGGTTGGTTAATAAAAACCGATTTTTATTTTTTTATTTTTACAGGTTTTTATGTATTACCATGTGCTAACTCATCCTTAATTAGAAAGCAGACACCATTGATATTGTGGTTATATGCGCCGGTTGGTTATTGATGCAACTTACATTCTTGACACTTTTCCTCAACATGCAAAAAATTGGTTCACGTTACATTCTAGCAATGTGTGTTATGTCAAACGGATTCTTCGCTTTCATGTCGGCTTTATTAACAATAAATGTATTCGGCGTGACCGTAAGTCCTATTTTATTAAGGTAACACCTTTTTATGATTATTATTTTCTTTTGATAATCCATCTTAATAATCATAATCTTCTAATACTAATATAAGAATCATCTTTCAATTATCAGCGAGGCAATCCCATTCTTAATCATAACAGTGGGATTCGAAAAACCATTTGCATTAACAAAAGCTGTCTTCGCTACATCACCATCAAAGGAATCTCCTCAATCAAATCAGGTTGATAAATCAGCCGAATTTCCTTATAACGTTAGAGATTGCGTCATTGCCGGTGTTGTACAAAAAGGGCCATTGATTGTACGCGATTATTTTATTGAAATTGGTGTATTATTCATTGGAGCTCTATCTGGTGTGGCTGGTTTGCAAGAATTTTGTTTCTTGGCCGCTTTCATCTTACTTTACGATTGCGTATTCCTTTTCACCTTTTATACCGCCATGTTGACCCTCAAACTTGAGGTAAATCAATTAATTAATCGGTTGTTTGTTTATTTTAATTGATTGATTTTGATTCTAATTAAAAAATATTTTTTAGTTGAAACGAATTCGTAAAACTCAATTAAAGCAAAGATTGGTTGAGAGCGATGAGCTAATAAGTAGTCCCGCAAACATTGGTCAAAATATTGTCGAAGCACTCTGTGATACAACTGTTGAGACCGAAGAAACCAAAAAATTTGACAATCAAATGATTGCAAGAATCAAACTTTTAATTGTGAGCATTTCTTACTATTAATTGATTAATTAGTTTTTTTTTTTTTGAGTTTCTTACTCATTACAATCGAAAATTTTTTTTTAGATCGCTGGTTTTCTTATAATGCACGTGATGAACTTTTGCACAACTTTACACACAAATGATCAAACGGATCAAGCTCAACCTAATCTACAAACACCCAAAGTTGATATACATGATCCTGAAATTATGCAAAATTTAAATAATTTACTTATACAACACCGTGCCGGATCTGAATCTCATTTTCCGCTCATCATTGATATAACTCCACCAATAATCTTTCGCGTGGTTCAAGATAGCGGTACCAATCCGATTCTGGTACAAGCTTTTTACAAAAGTTTTGATTCATTATTAAATCTATGGTCATTTTATGTTCAAGATCCTGTCCTTTCGAAATGGATTTCACTTGGTTTAATAGTTTCCATATTCTTGAACGTGTATCTCTTGAATGCGCATAAACAGCCAAAGGCCACTTTGGAGCGCGTGGGTAAGGAATCGATTAGTCTTACTGAAGAAAATCATGTTAAAAAAGTCGAAATCGAAAAAGAATTAATCGCAGAGGTAGTAGAAACAGCAACATCGAGTCCCGTAAAGGTTGTTCCAGAAAAAGTATCCAAAAATTTGATCGGTTCCGAAATTGATTCATCAACTAAAGGTGTTGATAAAAAACTTCGATCCGTTGAGCAATGTATTGAAATACTTAAATCAACCGCACTAGGCGCGGGTCCTTCGGAATTAATCGACGAAGAAATTATCCTCTTAGTTAACAACGGAAAGATTGCTGCTTACGCGTTAGAGAAGGTTCTTCGAAACATGGAAAGGGCCGTAAAAATACGAAGGGCTTTGATATCACGTGCTACCATCACAAAGACCTTGGAAACATCAGCGTTACCAATGGAAAATTATGATTACGCAAAAGTTATGGGATCTTGTTGTGAGAACGTTATTGGGTATATGCCAATTCCGGTTGGTATCGCGGGTCCTTTGGAAATTGATGGTGAAATGATTCATATCCCAATGGCTACAACGGAAGGTTGTTTGGTCGCTTCTACGGCACGTGGTTGTAAAGCGATTAATGCTGGTGGGGGTGCAACTACAATCATCACGCAAGATGGAATGACACGTGGACCGTGCGTTGAATTCCCAAATATCACAAGAGCGGGAGAGGCTAAAGCTTGGATAGATAACGAGGGAAATTCCATTATAAAACAAACGTTTAATTCAACATCGAGATTTGCGAGATTACAAAAACTTAAAGCAACTTTAGCAGGGAAATTACTCTTTATAAGATTTTCCACAACAACGGGAGATGCAATGGGAATGAATATGATATCAAAAGGATGTGAAAAATCATTGTCAGTTATGTCGGAACATTTTCCCGACATGCAAATTATATCATTATCGGGAAATTATTGTACAGATAAAAAACCCGCAGCTATTAATTGGATTGAAGGACGTGGTAAATCTGTTGTAGCAGAGTCAATTATACCCGGTGATGTCGTGCAAAAGGTACTCAAGACGAGCGTTGAAGCTCTCGTTGAACTAAACGTCTCCAAAAACTTGGTTGGATCTGCTATGGCTGGATCTATTGGTGGATTTAATGCTCATGCTGCAAATATTTTAACCGCTATATATATTGCTACTGGTCAAGATCCCGCTCAGAATGTCGAAAGTTCAAATTGTATAACCCTAATGAAAACGTATGTATCATATGATTGTTTTTTTTTTAAAAAAAATTCTTTAGATATTTATTAATTTATTTTTCTTGACTAAATTATTTTTTTAAATCTTTTAGTGTTAATAATGGACAAGATTTACACTTAACATGTACGATGCCATCAATTGAGGTAGGAACGATTGGAGGAGGAACAATACTAGGAGCGCAAGGATCGATGTTAGAAATGTTAGGAATACGTGGAGCTCATCCAACAACACCAGGATTGAACGCACAAAAATTAGCAAGAATAATTTGCGCTGCCGTCATGGCAGGAGAATTAAGTTTATGTGCTGCATTAGCCGCAGGTCATCTAGTCAAATCTCACATGCAACATAATAGAGCCAATCATCAACAACATCACGTACATCAACATAATCAATTTCATCCTGTTAAAATTAATCATAATCATAATCATCATCATCATCATGAGAAGAAGGTAGTTGAAGAATCTAAAAATGAAATAATCAATTCAACTAATTCAACTGTACCAGGAACATGTATTCTTTAAAAAAAAAAGGGAAATTTGTAATTTAATCTAATCTAAATTTTTAATTAATTATTTATTTTTGTGTGACAGTATAAGTTGGGAAAGGAAAAGCATAGATATATCTTTTTTTTTTAAAAAAAAACAATAATAAAATTATCATTTGAATCCTATTTTTAATTTTTTGGGGGTGGTTTTGATCTCATCAATCCGCAGTTTGATTGAATTAACTACACCGGAAAATTTTCATCCCACGTGATTTATTGGGAAGCGCATGAAATCTTTTCGGGGAATACTTTTAACTTTGTTCCGCAATTGTTGATACTTTATTTGTCCTGAGCGAAACGAAAGGACAATGTAAGTCTACGCAATGTGAAAATCTTCGGTCCCGTGTGTTTCTCTGTCCGCTCACGTGATGATTAACCTTTTTTGCGATTATTGAGCTCGTGACTTACAATGGTAAAAAAAAGGGACTATTTTAAAGATTTCCTGATTTGTCACGTGACTTAATCCGATCAAAAATAAATTTGACTCGTCAAATCATACATTTCAACCTACAATATCTATCATACGAGAGAAAAGGATTAATGGATAATTTAGCAATATTAACAGAAGGAAGTAAAGTATATGCGAAAAAACGAAAAAACAGAATCGAGCAAGTACCGGAGGTTGTATTTGACGAAACGGCAAGACGGTATCAACGTATTAAATTCTATCATTAAAATGGGGATTGTATGGTAAAGTTATTTACTCTGTGTGTATATATATTTGTTCTTTTCTTTTACAGAGAATTCTTAACTGGTTTTCATAAAAGGAAGTTAGAAAGGAAAGCAAAAGCAAAAGAAGCTTCCTTACAACTTGCTAAACAAGAGAGGTCAAAGGCAAGAAAAGCTGTACGTTTAAAAGGTTTAATTTTCCAATCCGTTATTATATACCATTTATAGATCATCTGATATAGATATATATATATACATTTTTTTTTTTGAATTAGGCAAGGGAATCCGTAAAAGAACAAGTAAAGCAGAGGTTAAACAAACTTCAAGAAATTATTAATCGTAAGTAAAGTAATGATTTTTTCATTATATGAAAATAAATGTTAAAAGAATAGGATTACGTTAATATATTTTAAAGAGAGGAATGGAATCATTGGACAAGTTGATGCTAAAGAAAGTGATGAAGATGAACCAAATGAAGAAGTAACGAATAAAGATATCACACAAGAATCTAACGTTACTCAGTCGGAATTCAGGTCAGCTGATTTGATGACTACAGTAACGATCATTGAAGACTTTAATATTTCGGAGACTTTTGGGAATGTTTCGAAGAAACCACGAATCGATGAAGAAATCATGGTATACGCCACTTTAATTCTTTCTTATATACCATTTGATAAATTGAGTAGTAATAATCATTACTTTACTTATTAGGATCATCAAACAATTTCACCTGTACCAGTTCCAACAAAAAGTTCAGAACCGAAATCTATAAGGTATATAAAAGGACGAAATATAACATTATAAATAAAATTTTTCTAATTTTTTAAAACTTGCTTTTTTAGTGTAAAGAAGAAATCAAAAAATGAAATTAAGAAAAAACGTCAACCAAGAAATAAAACTTCAAAGAAAACGCGTTCCAAAACAAAATCGGTCCATTCTTCAAATTCGAGACGAAAGAAAAGGAAATAGAGAATGGTTGTTTTAAGGTCATTCTTAGCATACATATTGAAATATAAAACCCTTTCTAATAAGTAATGACCACTAGAATTTTTACACGTCATCGGACAAATCATCTCAATTAAATCACTGGTAAGTAAAAAAAAAAAAAAAAAAAAAAAAAAAAAAAAAGTTTTATAAAAATTAATTTAATGATGAGAGTTTTGACGTATTTTTGATATCCTGAATTATCATGTGGATTTCAACGTAAAACAAATTTACAGGGATTCCTCGTTTCTGATACAAAAAATATTTTTTTTTCTTTTTTTTGATCTCGTTTGAATAATAACTAATAATATCTCTATATATACTTTTATAAAAAACAATAAATAATTAAATTTATCAAGATGTAAGATTTTAATTGATTTTATTTATTTTCGTTTAATTATTTATTAATTTAATAATAATATATCAACAAATGAATCCTTGGTAGGAATTCACATAGTATTTGATAATCACCGCTGATGGCTGTAATATTGAAATGTTGAAATGACTAAATAGAAGATAACTAAACTAGACTAAAAAAAGCAATCCGTAAACTCTATAATAAAAAAGGCAATAAAAAGGGCTACACAAATTCAACAAATAGTAATAAAAAAAAATAGAACTACTTATACCGTTTATTCTTCTTCTGATTCGTCCACATTCTCTTTTTCCATTGATTCAAATGTAGCTTTCTCATCCTTAATCTTTTGTTTGTAATAAGGATGAAATTCATTCCAAGGTAACAAAAAACTGAAACGAGGATCATCTATATGTTTTTCTCGAACTTTGGCTTCGAGGGATTGCCCATTCTTGGCAACGTATGCAGACATTTTGTCGACTATAACCTTGAGATCTGGTGGTGGCACACTATAAAAATAATGATAATGGTTATTATTCATAATTAAAATATCTATTAAATAAACTTGAAAACCTGTATGCCTACACGATAGGACCAAAAGGTTGAGGCGGTCTTGAAGGTCTGGGAGTTGTATTATGATTATGTGAAGGAATAGATTCATGGCTGCTCACACTAGATGTAGAATTTTCTACTTTAGATCTTTCTAACTCTAATTTTCTATCCGCCCTCTCTTCAATATTATCATTCCCTTCTAACTTGTCATTAGACAAGCCATTACCGTTTTTTCCTTTTCCTTCATTACTAGACGAATCCTCTTGATCATCACTTCCCCCATAGGCAAAGAGGCCAGTTTGCAATAATAAACGTACATGTCTATAATATGGATATAACGGATCATCTTTATTTAGAAAGGAGAAGCTTGGATTGTTGGCTTGCTTAGCCTGAATAACAATCTCCATTTGAGGATCCGTACTAGAATTAAGGAACTTGGCGGTACGTTCAATGATCTCATCAATCCGATTATCAGAAGGCTGAATATAAATGAAGTTGATACACCAAAATAAGTTCTTATAATATGAATCAATGCCAAGCTACATCCTGCAAATATTGTCATATACCGTGATCATTCCATTAGGAGCAGAGAACTTTGGCGTATAATCGGGTTTTGGAACTGGTACAGCCTTTACTTCTAAAAACGATACTTGTTTACATGAATGAACGTTAATCATTATATTGTATATAGATCATTGTTTTTTTTTTTTTTGAAGTTAAATTATAAATTATACCATAGCGCGGATTTTCATCCGAATAACTGTAATTGTATTCTCTATTTTCTTCTTGCATTTTTTTACGTTTCCTTTTCTCTTCTGCAAATAATATAATAATATATATCACTTTATTTATATTAATTGAGAGTTAAATTTATAAATCGATTCGATTGTATCATACCAACATAATCGTCTCTTTCTTCTTCAGACATGTCATACAAATCCTCAAATTCTGAATCTAAATCAGCCCATCTTTCTTCATCACAGAGTTTCTCCTGCTCAATGTCTTCTTCTGATTTCCTTGTCATTGTATAAGCAACTTTTTTGAATTGATCACGGTCATCAAGCAGGTTTCTTACATCATATCTGCAAACAACGCGTTCGAGGATAAATCATAAAATTAGCCAATAATCTTTGATCAAATTTTGACCTTCTGATCGGTCAAAGAAATCTTTTGTTTCCCTTGGTTTTCTCGTTGCTGTATATACCATAATATGCTATTGTGAGAAACCGTCTTTAATTCCTTCGTTTGATGTTTTGTGTTGGGAAACACTTTCTAACTTAAAATATAGTATTTCAAACTTTATATAATACCTTTAACTCTAAAAAAGGTTAGTGTATAATGAAAAGTACAGTAAAACGACATACTATGGTCGACAAATACGCCATATATGATGCTTTTTTTTTTTTTTTTGTTTTTTGAAAAAAAAATTTATAGTTTTATAATGAGCTCGACTTTTTATAGTTATGTGAAGCTCACCTATCTAATAAAATTTTATTTTCGGTTCTTCCCCTCGTATTAACAAATCACCGTTGTTAACCTTATTCGTCACGAAAAGTTTTGGCACCTTTTACAAAACTCTGTTATGTGTCACGGGACTGAAAAAATTCTTAATGTTATTGCATTCCATTCGCAAATAAACTTTCAAAAAGCTTAACCTTTTGCAAAATATTTAAGATTTTTTTTTCCATTTAATGTTCGTTACTGCCACTTAGGCTTCTTCTATCCTTGGTGTTTCCTTGTGTACACTTTGTCGCTGGCACTGTAACAGTAAAATAACAGCATTTCGTTTACCAGGTGGTGTGTGACTTTATGATGTCTCAAATATTGTGGATTCCACCACCACCATCACCTTTATCAAAAAAAGGTTCCTCTATGCACAGGTCTTTAGTGTCAAGCAAAAAGAGGACCTTGAATGGCAGAAGTAACTCCTCAGCTCCTGGTTTCCAACCTATGAATTCGGCTCAGGTGTTAACTTCAAGAGACCAGGACGTAAGATCTTATTGGAACGGACAAGTCTCAGAAATTGTGATTACCCATCGTGACTGACTCTGTCACTTCGCCTTTGACCTCATCCAGTATATACTTTCCCTCCATACTACAAAACTCATGGTTCTCTTCGATGATGCGACCTCTGATGAACACGAACTTTTCCAAGATATCCTTGCAATCAACACAGTCTTTATCTGTTAAATGCAAGGAAGAAGGGTCGCTATTCACTGACAAAAACGTCAGGTTAGGAAAAAAGCGTAAGACAAAGCTCAGGACAACATCAGCGTGCAACAAGCGACAACACTTGAAAACTACTCTCAATCGTACACTGCTAATCAAAGTGTATCCAAATCACCCTCAAAAGCAGCTATTGAAACGTTGGATGGGCTTGATGAAATATGCTTATAATGCAGTTGTTCACTAGAATTGATACCGCTGTTTATATATCAAAAATTCACATATTGATCCATCATGACGAGTTTGGATAAAACCTCAATCCATTGAAGATAAACTTAAACTTTATGCAGATGTTCGTGTAGGAAAAGATGTTAATGAAAATAAGGACAAGAAACTTCAAAAATCATGTGTATAGGGTGAACGCAAATTTGTACGAACTATTGTGCATATTGGAATGCTACTTCAAGATACACATGGAAAAGCACCTGCAAATATTATTGATGAGACAATTGACGAAGCATTGGCTGCTAGGTATGATTATTATTTTTTGATTTTTTTTTGTTTAAAATTTTTTATTTATTTTTTATTTTTTTTTTTGATTTTTTAATTAATTTAGGGATAAGATTATTAACCATAATATAGGATCAAACACGAATCAATGAGATTCATCTTTATCATTTCGATCTCGAAAAGATTTATAACAAATAATAACAATTCGTTCATAAAATTTTTCAAAATTCATGTGAAACCGTTTTTATGTCAATTATCTTCACAATCCATTAATGCTTTTTACACATCGTCATAAACCTATTGTCATTCTGGATCATAATAAGGGAAGGGCCAAAAATCAGCTGATTTAAAAGGTAGGTTTTATACAGAGGCCTACAGTAATTTACCGGATTTTTTACTATTTATAAAATTTATATACATAATGCGAGTTTTTATCTGTATATAGAAAATTTTATTTTACTAATTA